AAAAAGAAAAGAAAAAAAAAAGAGAGGGGAAGTAAGAGTTACATTGGCGGGCGGGGGAAGGAGGGCAACCACAATTGACGCGGCAAAAGCAAAAGACGCGCAGGAAAGCGAAAAAAAAAAAAGGACAAGGCTAAGGCGAGGCCTGTGGAAGGAAGACAGAAGGGCCGGTTTCTTTTTTTTTCCCCCCGGCATCTTTCCGCTGTGTTTTTGTGTTTGTTGGTTCTCTCCCCGCTCCGCCGCAGCCGCAAATATTTGAAGGAGCCGGCAGAGGCGAGAGGAGGAAATCGCAGGGAAAGTCATCCCTTCAGTTCCCGACGGACACGATGGATGCACGCGTGCCTGTGCCCGTCGTTCTCTTTCTTTCTCTCTGTGTATGTGTGTGCCGCCACTTCCAACGCGGTGGTGCTGGGCGCCCTTCCCCTTGCGGCCTTTTTCATTCCCGCCGCCCCCTCTTCTGCCGCAGTTCTGCATTATCGCACAGTCAAAAGTGAGCGGTGGCTGTCAAAGTATTCAAAGGGGGAACAAAAGGAGGGGAAACAGTTTTTCACGTCAAAGGCGGAAGTGAATCGAAGGAAAGGGGAATACCCAAACAAAGCAAAAACCAAAAATAAATAAAAAAAGAAAAACGGCTGAGCCAACTGCCCCGGCGTTGGAAGGGAAGAACCGACGCAGAAAAGCATACATGACACACCCCTCCGAAGATGAACTGCAAGCGCCACGCAAAACAGGCTTGACGCCTCCGCTTCAAGGTGAAACACAAGTATCCTCTGCCGGGGAAAGCGCCCTTTCGGGGGCGTTGGAGGGACTGCTCTCTGTGAGTTACCTTCGGCAACACGCACAAGAGGTGTACGATGCCGCGACGTCTGACCCTGCCTCTCCGGCATCCCTCTTGGCAGCCATGGACGACAGCCTCACGGTGCCTCTGTCGTATTTGCTGCGCCTCCCGGCTGTGCGGGACGCCGTACCAAGCGGATTGAATAACGAGAGGACGGCAAACCTCTTCGCAGCCGCCACGCGCAGGTCAGAAAAAATAGTGCTGCGCAGCACGCTGAAGGAATTGCGAGTCGGCCCCTTCCCCCAGGCCTTCTCCCGTTCTCGCTGCACACTGCACGTCCAAGGCGTGAGCAGCACGCTGACTTTGTCAGACGTTCAGGCCGTGATTCCACGGCACCCCATTTTTCACTTCTACCGTCTCTCTCAGGATACTGTAAATGTTACCTTTGAAAATGCCCGGAGCGCAAAAGAAGCGTTTGTGTTGCTGCAAGGGAGGACCTTTGGCGGATGCAACGCGGTGCAGGTAAAAATGCGTATGGAAAGCGAAAAACACCCGCAACTTCTTTCCCAACGACGCACTTCCAGGATGGGCGCAACCTCAGCAGCATCAACAGCTACTAATGCAAATGCCACTGCTACTAACTCCGTTTCACCTGTGGTGCCAATTGACGCATTTTTACCATTTTCCAAGACGGAGGAGGATTCTTTTGCTTGGTCACCGTGGAAAAAACCACACAAGTGTGAGCTGTTGCCTCAGCCATATTCTTCACTGCCGCAGCAGCAACAGCAGCATGCGGACATGCATCCACCTGCTGGGAGACGACGCATGCTTAATAATGACCCCATGAAAGGGGTGATTCCAGAGTATGCCCCTTCCAATATGAATTTCATGACGATGCCGAGGTATATGTGGAATTATGCCGCCACTGCTGCTAATGGGAACGACGCCTACCAACGACAGTGGGATGAGCATGATTCTTTCTCAAGAAGCAACAAGGCGTTTGCTTCTTCGAGCAGTGGGACGGGAATGCGGCCCTCCGTCTTGACACCCCCGTGCCCGGTGGGCAACGACTACCCGAGCGCCGGGGATGGCGCGTGGTTGCCGTGCGGCTCGCGTCCAGACCCCGAATTCATGGGGTGTCATGCTTCCTACGCATTTGACGTACCAACCACCGTAAACGGCGACAGTTACGCGAATGCGCCGATGGAGCCCGCACAGCACCCCAGCAGCGGGGCGGGGTGGGAACCACGCAGGCGTCGTGTCCAGCGGGATCCATACAAGGGGGGTATTTTAGTCGATAGCCCCGAGGTAAACAATGACGCCTTAACTGTTTGCGTATCACCGGGATCCATTGTAAACTACAAGCCGCGGCGCGTTGATTACCGCATTCTTTCCCCGCGCGCGTTCCATCCTTCGTCGTCAGTAGAATCTACTGATCGACCGAAAGTGGTGTCATCCGCGACGGACGACGAGTCCCCCACCCAACTTACCCCCTACGAAACAAGCAGTCAGACGCAGAGTGAAGCCGACAGCACTGGGCCACGGCAGATATCATGCGGAGGGAGCTGAAGCGGCACTCTCGCGTGCTGACCATTTTCCCACGCCGCAAATGTTCCCAAAGGAAGATGTAACTATGCCAAACTGTATTGGTGGACTGACGCACTGCATGCCTTTTTTTTCTTTAATTTTTCTTTTTGTTTTTCTCTTCTCCTTGAAATCGAAGCCGAAGAGTAAGCCGAGAGCAGACAACCAAAAGGAGATATCCATTTGTCTACCTCAGTGTCTCCATGTATCTACGTGTACATCAGGGAAAACCATGACGCGTTTCAGCTGAGGAGCAGGAAGGGAACACTGAAGACTAGAGAGAAGCAAAAGGGAAATGCACCACAAAACGAAATTGGATTTAATGCATAGTTGTAAACAAAAAAAAGACATTTTTTTTCTCCGTCTTTTTTTTCGTTGTTTTTTTTCTTTTTGTTTTTGAGTAATTATGTTGTGCGGCAGAACCCCGGCAAAACCCACAAGTATTTTTTTTGTTTTTGTTTTTCTTCTTCCCCTCATCCTTTTTGTTTAGTTATTTATTTCTTCCAATTGTCTGCTGCAGCCTTACTTTTATTTTGTTTGAAGCTTGTGGAAGGGGGGTGAGCGAAGATGCGGCCAGCAAACTGCGCGGGCTTATTTTTTTTCTTTTGTGTTTTTTTTCTCCCTTCTGGTTAAACGTGCCTTGTTTTCTTTACTTATCGCTTGATTTGTTTCCTAGGAGAAAAAGAAAGCATTTTAAGGGGACGAGTGCAGTTTGTGTGGGTTTGTGTTTTGCTTTTGCCTCTTCAGGGATGACCGCTGCCGCCTGCACGGCTCGGAAATAGATTGTGAAGGGGGTGGGGATGGGGGACTGACATGCCTTTTGTTGAGCAACTCCGCCAAGACTGGCTGCTGCAGGCGTCGAGGTGGGCCAGGGAACCGCTGCGGTGCTCCCCCAACACTTCCCCCACGCAGGCGGAAGCATGGGCCGTTTTGCTTGCCTTGCTGGCATTCGCCGAGGGTTTGCCCCCAACGCATGGGTGCCTGCAAGAACACTGCCTCGTCGCGGGGTGACGCCTTTGAAGAGGAAAGCAGTGAGCCTTGGCACGGCAAATAGAAGTTGTATTTTGTGTGTTATTTTTGACGTCCACGAAATCGGCACGCCTTGAGCACACGTGCGGTCACAGGGCATCTCCGCGCGGATGGTGCGCCGCGTGGCCTAACGACGGCCACTTTCTGCGTTCACGAAGGGAGCCGGACTGGCGCGGGTTGGTCTGCGGGCCAGCCACTTTGCTGGGGGCCCGTCCGGGGTGGGAAGATGCGTCCGCCAGGCCGAACTGCGGTCGCCTTGTTTTGCCCTTTCCCGCTGCGGGGGGAGGGGCGGGGGGCCGCCGCCAGGCGGATACTCCTCGCGGAGGCGTGCGGCCGTGGAGCGGTTGTTGCCCCGCCCGCGTGAGGGAAGTCCGCCCATTGCGGTGCTCACTTTTGTGCCTGGCGCCCAGGTCCCGAGGGGGCCAACTAACATCTTCGCCGTTTAACGACCGTACCACGTGCATACCCCTGCTGTTATTTTACTGTGTCTATACTGTGAGGGAAAACAGGCGACTTTCATTCCAGAGAGTCGTTACTTCTGAAAATATATATATATATATATATATATACACATGTGTGTGTGTGTGTCTGTGCGTCTCTCGTGCGTCTTTCTGTGCACCGCCGTCGCTTCGTTCCTCTGCTTTCTCTATTTGTTTCTTCCTTGCGTCACTCGGGGTGTGACGTGCCCCCCCCCCGTGGGCCGCTCATCCAACCCCAAGCGACGGCGAGGTGGAGGTGTGCAGAGGAGGGCACGGGGGGTTCTATTGCTACGACCACTTCGTTATCATCGGCACTGTTCGGCTTCAATGGCGTCAGACAAAATGGGCGGCGGCGGCGGCGGTGTGCGTGAGCTCGGCACCGTAACGGCAGGCATGGCCATGATGAACTTTGATGAAAAGACGCGGCCATATACGCGGGCAGACTTTTTGAAGTTTCTGCAGAACTACGAGGAGAATTTGAGCCCGTCAGAGATGCGACTCATTGAAAAGGGAATGCTTGCCACTTTCCTGGGGATGCCGCTTGGCTTCCTTCTCGGCTACAAGCTCAGCTCGCGCCTTGCCTGGCATCGCGTCGTCCGTGCGTTCGCCACGGTCGACGGCAAGGAGGCTGCAGGCAAGCCGTCGTGGATAGTGCGCAACATCTCGGGCATCGGAAAGACGCTCTTCGGGCTGACAGCGGCGACGATTCCGTACTTGCTGGTGCAGCAGTGGTTTATCTCCCGCGTGCTGGAACTGGACGAGCACGAGAGCAACCTGTCCTTTCACGTGCGGCGCCTCATGATCACGCAGCGCAGCGGGATGATGTTCAAGCGCACAGCCACGCGGGAGGTGACACGCGAGGAGCAGGATCGGCTCCTGCAGGAGGCCACCGAGCAGATGGAGGAGAACCGTTCGGGCCGCCGCGGTGGTGCCCCCGCAGGGGCGATGGACGTCAACTTGCGCTTGGGGCAGCAGGTGATGACGCCCGTGGCGCAAAGTGGCTACAGGCCCATGCCGGGTCAGCCACCATCGTGAGGGACGACGGCGGCGACGTAGATGCTGGGGGAGGGGAAGGGGGAGCGGGAGGGAGGCGGAGAGCGAAGGGTACAGAAGAGCGGCGGGCCAACATGAGCACCAGCAAAAATGCATCTTTACCCCCTTTTTTTTACACACACACACACACACACATGCGAAAAAAAACTGACCGAATCCCTCAATTTGCGCCTTGTAAATTTTGCATTCCTTTACGGTGTGTTTTTCTTTTTTATTGCTCCTCTTCACTGTTTTCTTGTTATTTGTCTTTTGTTGCCTTGTGCACGTAGTTGGGCGCACAACGTCCACAGCGAACCCACACACACACACACATACATATACACGGCTCTTTGCGGTTTTGGCGAAGTAAAGCGTTGTGTCACAAACACACACGCAAGAGGGGAGCGCCGAGAGAGACACGCGTGCAAGAAGGGGGTTAACATCGGCAGGTGGGCGGAAGCGACGGGGCGGCGTTGTCAGGCGTTGCTGCCAGACAATCCTGCCGTCAAGCGTGACAATGGCAGGAGCACCACGAAGTGCGTGTCCGACGCCTCTCATTCTCGTTCTTCTTCTTTCGCTGCTGTGTTTCGCCGCTCCCACCGCGGCCTTCTTTGGCAGAGGGGGACAGGCACCTGCACCTCCCCCCGCGGAGCAGGAAGAGGTGGACTACTACGCCGTGCTTGGCTTGACCGAGGAGGCCACGGAGAAGGAGGTGCGGCAAAAGTTCCGTGAGCTCTCCCGCAAGTACCACCCTGATGTGGCAAAGTCTGCGGAGGCCAAGGCGATGTACGGCAAGATTAACCGCGCGAACGCGGTTCTCTCCGACAAGAAGAAGCGTCGCATGTACGACATGCGGGGTGAAGAGGGTCTGCGGCAGCTGGAGCTGGCATTGAAGCAGGGTGACCAAGGGAATTCCATGGATCCTTTTGCCCGGCTCTTTGGCATGGGTGGCGGCGGCGGCCTGCGCGGGTCTAATTCTGAGGGCACACTTCACGTCGATCTCGAGGATGTGTATAGGGGAGGTAAGAAGGCCTTTGTGTTTAACAAGCAGAAGGTGTGCACCAAGTGTAAGGGTAGTGGCGCCTCCAAGGGCAGTGGCGTGGTGATCTGCTCGCACTGCCGCGGTCACGGTGTTGTGATTCAGCGTCTGCAGCTCGCCCCGGGCATGTACCAAGACATGCAGCAGGCCTGTCCGCAGTGTCAGGGAAAAGGGCGGGTGGCAAAGCACAAGTGCCCCGCGTGCAACGGCAACAAGGTTGTCCGCGGCGACGTCACGCTGACGATGGATATTGAGCAGGGCGTGCCTGAGGGGCACAAGGTGAGGTTTGAGATGGAGTCCGATGAGTCGCCAGAGCTTGTTCCCGGAGACCTCATCATGACGGTGCTTACGAAGCCGCATCCGCGCTACTCGCGCCGCTCAAACGGCCTCGACCTTGACGCCTCGCTTACCGTGACGCTGAAGGAGGCACTCTTGGGCTTTGAGCGCCGCATGGAGCACCTGGACGGGACGGAGGTGGTGGTGCGCGCCACCGGCGTGACGCCGTACGGGAAGGTGCTGAAGCTCCGCGGCAAAGGCATGCCGCGGCACCACCTGCCGTCGGAGAAGGGGGACCTCTACGTGAAGGTGATGTTTGAGCTGCCAAGGTCCCTGACGGAGGCGCAGAAGAAGGAGATTGCGGAGCAACTCTGACGGAGGGGCAGGCGGACGTCCCCGGACCGCGCGGCACCAGCATCAACATGGCTACTACTACTACTACTGCGTGGCCGGCCTATCTTTTCTCTCTTTCTCTTTTTTTTTTGCTCTCGCCTCGTTCCTCTTTCGCGTCTTACTTGCTCCCCACGACGACACAGCGGAGGGAACGCGGCAGTGCAAGCATCCATGACGGGAAACGTCGGAAAACTGAGAGAAGGCGGGACGCAGGGCGGCTTGTTTTATTTTTCTTCGTCTCCGTGCATGCGTGTTGCACTCGCTTTGGTGCTGCTGTTACTGGTGGATGCTGCTCGCTGGAAAGTGCTTCTTCTTTTGTTTAATCGGCCTTTTTTTTCTTCTCTCTCTCTCGCCCTCTTTTTCTTTGTTCTTTTCCTTCTGGTGCACGCTGCCCCCCTCACCTTTGCAACTGGCGGCACACCACGGAGTGAGCAGGCTAAAGGAAGCAAGCACAAGCAAGCAAGCGAAGCAGCAGGGCGAGGGTGTAAGGAGAGAAGCGAGAAAACAACGTCTGCACATAATGTTCCGTCGTTGCGCAGTCAAGTTTAACCCGTACGATGTCGTTGTGATCGGTGGCGGTCCTGGCGGTTACGTGGCCGCCATTAAAGCCGCGCAGCTTGGCATGAAGACGGCGTGCATCGAAAAGCGCGGCTCCCTGGGCGGCACCTGCCTAAATGTTGGCTGCATTCCGTCGAAGGCGCTCCTCCACGCGACGCACTTGTACCACGACGCCCATGCCAACTTCGCCCGCTACGGCCTCATGGGCGGCGAGGGCATCACCATGGACACCGCCAAGATGCAGCAGCAGAAGGAAAAGGCGGTGAAGGGGCTCACGGGGGGCGTGGAGTACCTGTTCAAGAAGAACAAGGTGACCTACTACAAGGGCGAGGGCTGCTTTGAGACGGCGCACAGCATCAAGGTGAACGGCCTGGACGGAAGCTCGGAGGTGATTGAGGCGAAGAAGACGATTATCGCCACCGGCAGCGAGCCGACGCAGTTGCCCTTCCTGCCGTTTGACGAGAAGGTGGTGCTCTCCTCCACGGGCGCCCTCGCGCTTCCGCGTGTTCCGAAGTCGATGGTAGTGATTGGCGGTGGCGTGATCGGCCTCGAGCTCGGCAGCGTGTGGGCGCGGCTGGGGGCGCAGGTGACGGTGGTTGAGTTCGCGCCCCGCTGCGCCCCGACGCTGGACGAGGACGTCACCAACGCCCTCCTAGGCGTCCTCGCAAAGAACGAGAAGATGAAGTTCATGACGAGCACAAAGGTGGTGAGCGGGACGAACAACGGCGACAGCGTGACCATCGAGGTGGAGGGGAAGAGCGGCAAGCGCGAGACGCTCAACTGCGAAGCGCTGCTGGTGTCCGTTGGCCGCCGCCCGTTTACCGCCGGCCTGGGCCTCGACAAGATTAACGTCGCGACCAACGAGCGCGGCTTCGTGAAGATTGGCGAACACTTCGAGACCAACGTCGCGGACGTGTACGCCATCGGCGACGTCGTCGACAAGGGCCCGATGCTTGCGCACAAGGCGGAGGAGGAGGGCGTCGCGTGCGCCGAGAACTTTGCGGGGAAGCCCGGCCACGTGAACTACGGCGTTATCCCCGGCGTCATCTACACGATGCCGGAGGTGGCCTTCGTCGGCAAGAGCGAAGACGAGCTCAAGCAGGAGGGCGTCGCGTACAAGGTTGGCAGGTTCCCGTTCAACGCGAACAGCCGCGCGAAGGCGGTCGCCACCGAGGACGGCTTTGTGAAGGTTCTTGTCGACAAGACGACGGACCGCATTCTCGGCGTGCACATTGTCTGCGCCGCGGCCGGCGAGCTCATAGCGGAGGCCTGTCTGGCCCTGGAGTACGGCGCGAGCTCCGAGGACGTTGGCCGCACCTGCCACGCCCACCCGACAATGTCCGAGGCCGTGAAGGAGGCGTGCATGGCGTGCTTCGCAAAGGCCATTAACTTTTAAACTTTCTGGGTGGCGGTTATAAACAAAGCAAGAAGGTAACATTACACGCGGAGGTGCCCATACGTAAACACGCGCTAGTAGGGATGGGCCAAAAGGAGGGGGCGGGCAAGAAGGCGCACCTTGCATGAACAGGGCGAGACAAGGAGCAAAGGCGTAGAGGGGGAATAAAGCAATAATATATATATATATATAATATAGGGGAAAACCAGCAACAACAGACAAAAAGAGAAGTGCGTCTGTGTCTGTGTGTTCGTGTGTGTGCGTGTGTGATGTGAATCAAAAGAGGCAAGGAAGCTGCTACGGAGGGGAGGGGGAAAGAAGGCAAGAAAGACACGTCGTGGGTCTCTCTCTCTCTCTCTCTCTCTCTCTGCGTGTGTGTGTGTGTGCTATTGGAGCCCACGCCGCACTTGCCAGATGGTGCAAGTGAGCGCATTGCCATTGCCGCCCAACGACGTGTTAAACGAGACCAATTTGACCGCATGGGTGCGTGTGTGTGTGTTGGGAAGGCAAACAGACCCCGTGGGATTCCGCGTAGCGCACATGAAGCGCGTGGGAGAAATAACTACTCCAACTCCAAAATGGCACGGCAGAAACAGTAGCAGCAGCGGCAGAAAAAAAAGAAGAAAAATAAGAAGCAGCATCAGCGGAGCACGAGAAATGCGTCGCAGGGTTTTCTTCAGCTGCGACTCAAGGAGGATGGGTGGGTGCGTATGTGTGTGGGGATGCTAGTAGAGGCGCAAACAAACAAACAAACAAAACCGGAATAAAACCGAGAACTGAGGCAGCCGCGACGGTGCATGAACCACACACACTTCACTCCTTTTTCTCCCCCAAATGTGCTCGTGGGTGTCGCTGCTTGTCTGCGCGCAGCTGTTAGGGACGGACTGACCGACGTGTTTCGTTGCCTCGATCACTTTTCCTCCCCTCACTCTTTCTTTCTTCTCCCACAAAACCACCCCTCTCTGCCTCCTGTTTTTTTTCTTAGCAAATAAGTTTAAAAAATTGTTGTTGTTTGTTTTTTCTTTTTTCTTCCCTTTTAGCAAATGACACTCATGAGGTCCCCCTCACGAGAACTGCGGCCGCCCGTCAAACGTGGGCGGCACCTGTTCGTGGGCGTTTTTTCTTGCCCCGGTTTAACTCGTGCCTGGGGGCGCACACACACGCACGCACGCACGCACGCACTCCGCCTCCGCCGCTCTCTCGCCCACCGCTGCGGGGGCTTGTGAGCTGCCGACAGCCGCGGGCGCGATTTCCGAAGTTGTTCCCATCGTTTCTCTTCGTCTTTTATTTTTATTTTTATTTTTCCTCCGCTCGCGCACACCGCGCAGAGACGCGGAGGGACTTAGACGCAAATTAGAGGTGCCGGACGTCAGACGAGCAAAAAACAAAAGGGAACAAAACCAACTCGCAAGGAACGAGCGGCGGAGGACAAAACTCGCACAAACAGCGGCAGCGGCGGAGACAAGGAGGGGACGCAGCGAGAAGACAGTCATCCGACAGGGCGCCACTGCGGACGGCTTGGAGGAAGGAACGGGGGTAGGGGAAAAAAGAAGAAGGAAGGAAGTAAAGAAGGGTGAATTGGGACACGGGACGTGTTGGTGCCTCTTAGACGCGAGTCACTGCCATTTCTCACGGTAAACCCTCTAAGCAGCCAGCATGAACCCGACAACGACTCTGCGTGAGGTGTCAAACCTCTCGGGCGGCATTGGCGATGTGAAGCAGCGCCTCGCGCAGCGTATTGGTAGCAGCTGGGATTCCTATCGCCTTGCCCCCTCTACCATCGTGCCTAGGTCAAGCCTCTACGACCTCCGCCCCGGCACGAGGGAGAGGTCGAAGGAGATGCTTGTAAGCCCCCACGCCGATCGCCGCCACGCCGACAACCCTGTTTTCTGCACCGACATCGTCAAGGACATCACCGCCATGTACATGGACAGCGAGAGGCAGACGGAGGGGAAGGCAAGCAATGGCCGGATTCTGGCGTCGCCGAGGTACTTGACCTATCAGCCAGAAATTAATGAAAAGATGCGTATGATTCTGGTGGATTGGCTCATTGACGTTCATCTCAAGTTCAAGCTTCACGCGGAAACAATGTACTTGGCGGTGAACATCTTGGATCGCTACCTTTCCACTGTGAATACCAAGCAGCCGGCGGGGACGTACGTGGCCCGATCGCAGCTGCAACTAGTCGGTATCACTGCCATTCTGCTTGCCGCCAAGTATGAGGAAATTTGGCCCCCAGAAGTGAAGGAGTGTGTACACATCAGCGCCAACACATACACACGGGATGAGGTCCTCAAAATGGAGCGCAGCGTTTGCTCTGCCTTGTCCTTCCGCTTGACGGTCCCAACGCCGTTCCCCTTCCTAGTGCGTCTGCTGAACGTTATGGAGGGGTTGGACCGCTCTGGCTCCTTGGGCGAGGAATACAACATCTACCTGACCCGACTGCGTCACACTGCCTTCTTCTTTTTGGAGCATGGCATGCTTGACTACAAGTGCCTGCAATTTACCCCGGCCCAGCACGCGAACGCCTCGCTGTTTCTCGCCCTTATAACTCTGCGAATCAAACAAAAAGGCGGCTCTTGCTCCTTTGACGGTGAAACAATTTGGACACGTCAGCTGCAGCACTACAGCAAGGCAAAGGTGTCTGAGTTCAAGGCATGCGCCGAGGCCATACTGGAGTTTGTGAACTATGTTCCCACCACAAAGTACCAGGCGGTGCGGCGCAAGTACAGCAGCGCAAGGTACGGCGAGGTGGCAAAGCTCATCATGCCTAACGAGGTCCCCGACTACTGAGAGCAACACAAGAAGCAAAAGCTTGCTGTCCTGCCCCTCACTCTCTCACGCTTGTAGGTGGTTATGCGCATTTCCGTCCGAGAGAAAAAAAAATGAAAGAAATTAAACAAGAAAATAAGAAGAAAAGAACAAGAGAGAGAGAGAGTGAGAGAGAGAGAGGAAGGGAAAA